AAGGGTTGTATGTATTTTTGTATGTTGTATCATAAAAAAATAAATAAAAAAATCCAAAAAATAAAACTGTATGGGGTGGACACCCCTCGTCACTTCGAACCCCGAAGGATAGATAGTAGCCGATTCTCAGACTTACTGAATATGCATAAAAAATTTCATAAGAATCGGTCAAGTCGGAGGAGTATGGGAACGAACATTGTGACACGAGAATTTTATACGTATATATTAGATTTTATATGATTCGCAGGTATGAGTTTACTTATAATGCAAGTTTGGCTGATTATGCCTATACATGGTTAGGGGGCGTCCATAAATTACGTGAGGTGTTTTTTTTTAATTTTCTGTGACTCCTTCCCCCCCTGGTGAGATGTCGTGAGATTTTATTCAACCCCCTCCCCCATCCCCCAATCTCACGTGAGATTTTTCAAAATGTGGGTTTGTTACGTAAACGCGTTGGATTGTTAGTGTAAAAAGAAAAAAATTGCTTCGTGCTTTTATTTACGACTAAAACAAAATAAGTGAAATGTTGAGCGTTTAGGTATGGAGTTAGCGGAAAGTTGCAGAGATGGCCTTTAGGGTGAACAGTTTTCCTAAATTTTTTTTTCAATCAGAAAAAAAATTGCGTGATATTATATACCCCTCTCTCCAACGTAAGATTAAATGAGATTTGACTCGACCCCCTCCCCCCCTTAAACACCTCACGTAATTTATGGACGCCCCCTTATCTATGGCAAACGTAAACTACTCTAATACATTACATACTTATATCACTTTCTCTTCGAATCCAAATCTCCTAAGTAAATGAAATCAGTAATACGAAATGTATTAAACTATTAAGATTTGAATTCTAAAAGCATTCTGAAGTGGATTCCATAGATTTGAGTAAAATCAAACAATGTTGGTGTTCCAACAGCTATCTACAGTGTGTAAACAAATTAAACGCTACTTGACAATAGAGACACCCATCATGGCATTGTCTCGCTTGACAGAGAATGGTATGGTACATTTTACAAGCGTTTATTAGTAAATATATTTCTCAGTAATATTTGTCGGCAGAAAGTGGAAGAAAGAAGCAGAAACTAAATTGAAATGAAAAGGGCTAGGCAAGCAATCAAGTATCATTCAGCCGCTATTTGAATGGCGCTGTTCAGCCTTGCGATTTTGTAACTCACTTTTCGAAACAATAAACTACAAGCTCCCTCCTTATCAGAATGCTAAATCGTAAAATGACTGCTTCACGACTGATTTGAGCGCGACCGCCGCGCCGCCGGCTGGAAAACCGCTGGCGAGTTCGAAAAGTGAGTTACAGAATCTCAAGGCAGTAAAGAAGATAGACTGTTGATTAAACGGCTGCAACATTTACATCAATTATACTAAACATTTATTTTGATCATCATTTTGATGTCATTACTAACGGTTTTTAATACTAGTGTTCACTTTACAAGGGATTTACTTTTAGGGACGAGGGTAGACTCGGGTTGCAGCCACGCCAGAGAACTTTTCATTAAACAAAGCTGTTTTTTCATGAAATGTCAGCAACGCTATATATATATCTGTTTTATAAAATATATTTTTTTGTAAATGTAAAGCTTTTTTCGGTGCCTTACTTATAGCTATGTTCTTTCAATATCGCAGAGTGAATTCACAGTAGCGATATTGTGTATAATATGTGTTTAATATTATATATGTACCTACTTTATTATATTTTATTTAATGTTTCTCGACATTATTGTATTGGCATAGTCTGTAAGGATAATGTATGTATTTCTGTAATAAATAAAGAAATAAAATAAATATAAAGCTCTAGCTTATTAATACTTACGATATCATATATCTTTTTAGATCTTTCTGAACGTAATTTAAATTTTATATAACCTGCCGACTTTTTCTTTTGCACCAACGGGCATTGCAATTGTTCTGCGCTCATGACAAGCCGTATCTGAAGCGAGTGGAACGAGAAATATACCGATGTAGACCTAAAGAAGTATTCATGTAGATAATATTGTTTCAACCACCCAGCCACCATCAAATAAATCTACTACTCAAATACGATTTACAGATGCCTTTATTCTTGATTGTAGTTAAAAACCTAAATATAACAATCAAATATACAGTATTTACAATTTTCTTAACATAAAGTATATAATAAAAAATAATTAAAAATTGATAAAAAGAAAATTAAAACAAATTTAAAGAGTTGGGTCTGTAACGCTGGCAGCATTTCCTCGCTGTGTTGCGATACTTATCCGGTAAGCGAGAAAACCTCTACCCGCTCTGGGGTCACCGGTACTATCTACCAGACGCCAACTAAACTCTTTTATTGGCCCCTGTGTACTTGAACCCCACGGCCCAAGAGTCTCTACTCTAAAGGGAACGAATTTTTAGGAAAGACTTATATTTTAGCTGTTTATTCTTTTCCGCCTACCATGCGGCCACTTTTAGTAATTGTTAATTTTTTGTATTGAAGTTCCATGTAAATTACTAAAGATGAAGCCTTAAAGATTGTGAAATCAAAGATTTATTTATTAAACATCATCTAGGGAGTAAAAAGGCAAAACAACGTCGTGTGTTGGCGAGGTTCATTAAATCGTAATTTGTCAAAACGACACCACGGATTTTGCGTGTCAGTGGATTGACTTGAGACACTATTGACCTATCACAAACAAATGAAACGCTTTGTTTTGTCCTTCTTCACGCCCCTAATCGTGATTGTTTACTAACACAAGCATGGAAAGTGACTACTAAATCGGTAGTTGCTATAGCGAAATTGTAACTAATACAATAGTGCGAGTTTAAAATGGCTAATTATCACACATAGCACAAAGAGAGGTCTATTATTATACGCCTTGTTGAAGATATTAATTTTAACTGTATTTCATAATCAGTTGTTTTTATTAATATCTAACTAATGCTTAAAGGTAATATGGGTAATTGTATTAACAGTGACGGTACAGTATATTGTATGAAGAAAATTTAACAGATTCACATAAGCTTTATCAGCAATAAATCTGAACGTGACCTGATTCAGCAATTAATAGGAGATATTCAGAATGATATATTGTGTCGGCTTCTCCTATTCGATTTATGAAAACTGTGTAAAAACGAAAATTCCATAGTAAAATCTTTTGTTTCTTTTAAGTTTATTATACACTTATGATTTTTTACTCCTTTGTTATATTTAGTGTATAACGAAGTGTGATTAATAATCCAATGACAATCGGTAATCTAAACCAGCATTTGGGGGTTACACGTGCGTACAACGTTAGTACATTTGACCTACTATAAACTTAAAGTCTTGCGGGGGTAGTGAGCAACCCAAGTATTCTCGAAGAACTCGGTTTTTTTGTTCCTAGGGGATATGTGCGATGGCGGAGGCCAAAGTTGTGTGCGATACCAAGAGCCATCGACACTATCGACATCTTTATATGTTTGCAGAGTGAGTTTACAGTAGCGATATTGTGTATAATATTATGTATTAAAAAAAAAATTATTATCGTATTGGCTTAGTACTGTAAGGATAGATAGTGTATCCTACCGATCTACGGAGGTAGTAGTCTTGGGGTCGATAATAGGCTGGTTCGCTTGTAGTGTACGATTTAAGTTCATTCATGGTAATTGTATACAAGTTCTTGCTTGTCTTATATTTCTTTAACAGGCGCAAAAGAAAAACAGCATAATTCTATTATGAATTTATTTTTCTAATTACAAATAGTTTTTACATACATAGCTACATTACATATATTTTCATAAGAACAATTATTATTACTCTATAATAGATAATTTGACTTAGAATTGAATGACAGTACTTTTCTTTCAGCGAAAAAGTGGTTATTGGTTTTTTGAGCTGTACTATGATTTATAAACACAAACTTTAACTCATATCACTACATTTCAAAGAAACTTGTGAATTTGTTGCAATGACTGCTTAAAGCTTTTAATACAATCTACAGTAATACATTGGAATTCTCCATAATGTAGGATTTTGTACTATTCATATTTTAACTATCATTATTTCACTTTAGTCTTTCATATGTCAAAACCATAGATATTTATATATCATGAGCTAACTTGGATACAGTTACAACAGTCTAGAAACAAATTTAAAAAAGTTATGTATAAAACGCAACGAACACATTTCTAATTTACATTCATTTTTATATAATTTCTCAAATACCAAATGACTACTGAGTATCCTTAGTCTACCATTACAACATATTTGAAATACCATAAAATAATTGACACCAAAACGCTAAAAAACTTTAGCCGGGCTCATAGCTTAAAGCTTTTGAGCGTTTATCGAAATCTGAAATCCATTTGAAATAATGTACCTAGTCGAGTATTCAAAACTTAAATAATTTTGAGGAATTCCTTAAACTGATTAAAGTTGTCTCCTTGAAAATCTAAAGCAAAATGTTTTGCATGATATGTCTGCGCAATGTATGACATAGTATGAAATATATACCGCCATCAGCCTGTACATAACTTCTCATACATATATCTTTGCAGAAGTTATTGTATTACTTTGTCAAAAGGTCGTTGGCCTTATAAGATTCTTTTTCGAAGAAAATTTTTAATGTTAAATTATTTTTAATAATGATTTAATAATGAAATGAATTTAAGATTCCATAAACTACTTATTATATAAGCTAAAAGTATTAAACACTTATAATTATTTACTTAGACATATAAAGAGACTTTAATTATATTTATCTACAATTTATTGTCTTTTGCGCATAATATTTATTAATTTAACAGAATTATATTTTACATTACGCAATTATTTCCATTTAAAATATCAACGATTTTATAACTATTTTACATTGCCTATATTTTTACACGATAATTTCTATACATCAAAAGCAATAGCTAGTTTTTCTATAGTATTGTCTATATAAGAGCTGATTACGCAATTTTTCATAAAATACACAAACGTATATTGTTACTGTACAGTCATATTGTGAATTTTTTAACTAACCAAAATTTCTTACCAATATGAATGTTTACGTTACATGAAAGTCACCCTTTAAGAGTCTCATAAAAGTCTTTTTAAACTGTTGATTTGCTAATGCATAGCAAAATGGATTAATAGGGCTGTTTGCGTAACATAAGAAATATGAAAACATATACAAATGTTGATTTATACACGGAGGTTCTGTACAAAAACCTTCAACTAAAGCTAAAATATGATATGGAGTCCAGCATACAACGAAGGCGCCTAAAATGAAAGATATCGTCCTGAAAGCCTTTCGAGCTCTGTTCTCTGACTTTGATTTCTGGCGGCCAATACTAGGAAATAAGCCATCGCGTTTTGAACGTCTTACTTTAAATTTTTTACCTATGCTCTTTACAAATTCTTTTCTTGAATCACCCCGACATGATCCACTCACTGCAGGACTTGAAACATCACTGCTTTCAATTGCAGGGCTTAAAACAGCATTTAATCTCAGTGGCGCTGCCTTATTTTCCTTTGGCTTTGGTGTTTGTGTATCATTATTATTGGAAGACGACACTAGGGTGATGACAGGTTTAGGGCATTCTCCAGCTGTTAAACTTACCTCCGTATTAACTTTAACAGGCTGTGGAGGAGTTTGGTTTGGTTTAGGTGTAACTTGTGCTTCAGCAGTCGCTCGAATAAGAGCAGCCTGTAATAAGGAAGTATTTGTTACATTACCAGAATTCAATGTTGGAGGGGACGGTGGATCAGTAGCGGTTGGGAATGTAAGAGAAGATGGAGGGCTTTCATTCTGAGGTGTCGGGACTATAATGGAACTCTCGTCCATGTATCGCAAATCAGCACCATCTAGTCCTAATAAGAAGTCGTAGCCGCTACTATCACATTTAATTAGTCTAAAGACCTTAGATCTAGATGATTCTGAATGAGATGGAGGGCTTTCAGATACCGTGGGACTACAGCGGAATTCTGATGGAGGGGGGATGATTCTTTGAGCAATCGTATTTGAAACTTCCCTTTCTAATGATGAATCTATCCCAGATGATGAAGGCGAGATGTTGCTAGCGGATGAAATTGGCAAACTTACTGCAGGATGTCCATTGTTTGACTGTATATATTCAGTCTCTAGGATACTCTTCTCTGATATTTGCGACAGTGATGACTTTGGTTTATCTAGGTCATGCTTGATAATATGCGATGATTTCAATTCGGGTTTCATAAGCATGCCGCCGTTCAAGCGCATATTACCCAGCAACTGCATAGTGCCTGTTTGCATCACGAGATTAACGACTGAAGGTCGCTTTTTTACATTTTGCGTAGTACTTTCATCATCAGAATCAAATGCTGGACTACTAGATCTTTCTGCTTCAACTTGTTCATCTTTTTTATCTCCATCAGATTCAGCAGTTGTTGATGTTCCCGTTACAGTTGCACTACTTTTATGCGCTGATGATTTTTGACTAGAATTTGAATCAGAAGAACCGCCCAAGTTTGTCAAAGGCGCTGTCAAAGAACCTTTAGATGTCGATTCTTTACGGATTGATTCCGAAACTTTTATTTGATCTTCGCTAGAGACAGTGGCCTTTGAAATCGTAGCCATGCCAGCAGCTCTTCCAGCCATACCAGTCATAACTCCAGCGCTTAAAGCTACCATTGATTGCATTTTTCTTTGTTTCGCTTCACTTTTCTTTTGCATATCGTAAGCAGTTTTAAATATTCCTGCATATAAAACGATTAAAACTATAAGCGTTGTCCAATAATATGCAATAATTAAAGCTGTATTGAATACTGGGTCTTTTAGAAATTGTACGGCACATTCTCCTTCCTGTAAGTCTCGATATCCAACGAAATGTTCCCAGCCAAAAATAGTTGTAAAGAATAGCAACGCTGGTATAATCCAAGTAACAGTGACCATCCATATAACGCGATTCTTTGTTCTCCACGCTCGGTACCTTGCAGCTATTTTTACGCTGCAGAATCTATCGACTGTTATTAATAGTACCGTGTATTGTGATACAAGGCATACAGTGTAATCTACGGATAGCCAAAGGTCACATAACAATGGTCCTAAATGCCAGTACCCTTTCAAAACATAGTCAGTGTAGAATGGCAGAGACAATGTACCTGGTAACAAGGAAAACCAATTTAAAATTAATTTATTGGCGAGCAATGTAAATGTTCATTCACTTCAATGAATAGCAGTATTTGTTTTCGTTTCGCAGTGATTAAAATTACGCATTACTGACTGTATAATGCTACTGTTCGGATAAAACAATTAAAATATGAAACAGTCTGATAAAATGGAGAAAGAAAAGGTAAAAAATTTGCATTTTAAAGCAGAAAATTATTTGTTTTTCTCAATACTAATTAAAAGCGACGGGCGCTTGGAATGCTATTTGAGCTTCAAGTATAGGATAACTTTTACTCTGATTGGTTACTACCATCATCCATCTTTGTGAAATTTAGGTTACTTAAACACTTTTTATATGAAAATGGCTTTCCTTCGAAAGAAAGATGAAGATTGATACAAAATATACTGAGTTGGTGCAAACTAAATTACTTATACATTATAATATTCGCGTACATATGATAATAGCTTCAATTTTGCGAATAGGAGATTAATGAATTTTATGTATTACTATTTGTACAACTATGAAATATATGTAAAGTAAAATAATTATTTTGGGAATTAAGGTTGTCAATGTCAGATGAAGAAGTATAGCGATTACGGTTAGAAATTACATTACATTTATTTATTAACACTTCGTTGCATAAAAATAATAAAAATAACAGAACATACTTTATGAAAACGAGGGCATTACTACTATATGTATATACAGTTATTCAGGCAGTCATTCAAATTTACATTTAATAAACACTCAGTTATTATTTTTATCCACATTCGTCACATTATATATTATTTTAATAATTACATATAAACTTTATGAAATAAATGATTCTTCTAAACCTTTTATTAGAATTAGGCTTAGGAGTACTATCAAATGAGTAGCTTTAACTAAAAAAAAATATTTAAGCTATAAAATAATATGAAATCAACTGTTAATAAATCTTATGAGAATTTTACGTACCTATCAACAGATCTGTCGCAGCGAGTGAAGCAATGAAGTAGTTGCTAGGCTGACGTATCGTTCTGTCCACGAGGAAGGCCAGGAGAACCAGAACATTACCACTGACAGTCAACAGAATCACCAGAACAAGGCAGGTGGCAATGATCGCCGCCAGCCAAAGCGGGAATGGTGGAAGCACAGGTTGCTGGAAGAGAACTAAAGTTATCATACCTTTTAAAATCAAATATCTTTTCAATATTTTATATATAATAAATTATATATAGAACCAAAAACTTAAACCTTTTTATAACTTATATAAATAATGCAACTCTTATGAAGCCAGTGTGCAACTTAATATATCCGTCTCACATGCAATAATATTCAGGGTGCGCAAGACACGCGTAAATGGAGCTTCTCTGAGTAAATTTGTACGCGCTCGAGGCACTGCAAGCAATTGCAACCGCTTACCACGCCGAGTGTGATTTTTTTGCACACACAGCCCCAGTCTCTCCAACATTTCTACACTATACACTCCCTCTAAGAACCTTATAATATTAATAATATAATGTGATAGTAAGGTCCCTCCACCCGTCCTCTGTCTCCTTCCCTCTACCTTGTTGTATCCTACCATACTCCAGACAAAAAACAAAATATCCAATATAATAATAAATAATAATTTAGTGGCGCTACAACCCCATCTAAGTCTGGACCACAGATTATAATCCTTTTTATTAAAACAGGCTAGGCTGAGCTCTGGTGCTTTGCATAAAGAAAATCCGACTCTGATGAGGACACTAAAAGTTACCTAGCTTCATACGTATGCTGAGGCAAGGGCTCAGAGTTCATCCATGCCCAAAAGGAATGTCGGGTATTTGTTGTGTTTCTCGAGGGAGTCGGACGGAATAAGTTTCAAAGGATTTAACAATGTTTGACACTTTCTGGTCAATTTTCTGAAGTTGGACAAAAATAAAGATATGGTTTCAAAGGTCCCATACAGAATTATAATAATGAGTATACGACCAACCAGGCTCCATTAACCACTCCTTAATGATTGCCTTCTCACAACCTACGACAGATTTTATTAGTAATAAACATTTAAAGCAAAGCTTTTTAAATTTGAGGAATACTAAATGTATAACGTTGGATTGACATAACTCCGTTCCAAGTTTGACAATAGTAGTTAAGTGGCGGAAAGTTTTGCCATTCTTTCCCCTCGAAAACGGCGTTTGCATATAAGCAAATTTACGAATTTAACACGATTCAAAATCGTACTTCGTTGCCTGCCTGAATGATATCGTTAGTTTGAGTTTACTTTCAATTCAAGTCCTTTTACGAACTTCTCGGTTTTTGGGTTGAAAGACGTAAAGCCAATTCGATTAGCCAGTAGTGTTTGAATTTCCAAAAGACAAAAAAAGGGGGTCTGGGCCATTGCGTCTAAATTACATAAAATCCTACAGACATGGCCGATGAACAGGCCACTTAATCAATGTTCACTTAATGCAGGAACTAAAATACAAATTTGTACACTATTTTTGTATGAGAAAATTCTTCTTTTTTTCAGTTCTGCATTAAAACTGGAAAACTTTACCGCAATAATAGATTCAAGGTAGTGTGCGGAAACAGAAATCATCGGTCACCTGGAAATAATTGAGAACAGTTTTGGTTCCAATTTTTTCATTATCTAATATATAAAATCCCCGTGCCTGAACCAGTTGATTGTTATTGAAGGTGGAAGCGGATCCATCGCAAACCACGTCCGAGTTGCGCAGGCGCGGTTGTGATAAAACTGTAATTCACTTGAAGCAAAATTGGGAAGATTTTTGAATACTAAATGTTAGTATAGTCCGAGAATCGGTAGTTACAGCGACTTTCTCCCCTAAAACAGTTTCTATAGGATTCATTTAACTTATATCCCATTCCCCTTACGTTATTTTCTTCAATCCTTTTAGAACTTACATTGGTAAAACCGTACAATTCGATTAGTAGTTTGAATTTTGCTCATGATACAGCCATGCATAAATATAACAAATAACAAATTCCCTAAACTTTCATAAAATTCCTCTTACGATCTGCAAACCTCATATTTTACCCGCAATAATATATCAAGGTTAGGATAGAAATCATCGCATGGAAATCGGACGTTGGTTGAATTTTATCATTATATTTTATAAAATGAAGCGTTATAACACCACGCTTTCAGGAATTCACTAAACCTCGAGTATTGCACAAATACAACGTCTATTTCCGACAGCTGTGCTGTTTGGAAATAGGTTTAAAGTTTTTATTTCCAGCCTTTAGAATTCCGATTGGTTTCATCGTTTTATTTTATTCCTAGCATCTGTTTGCTATTGCTTTTTTATCAGGGTAATATAAACAGAAACAATGGCGCTACAACCCTTGGTCTCAGATTTCTGTTTCTGTTTCACGTTATTTGTGCACGTCACGTTATCAGCTATCTGTGACTAATGCCGTCGACTTTGGGTCTACCACTTAGGTTTTGGGACTTGGGTTTTCCGACGTTGAACAGCTGGGGTATGAACCCACGACCTTAGAGAGTCGCACGCTTCAGTCTAGGCCAACACTGCTCCCTTTCGTTATATATGGTCATGCAGTGTTAAGTTAGTAATTCTTTTTTGGGAAAAGGGATACTCTTCTTTAATAAAATCCCAGAGGCTCTTTAATCTCTGCCTTTTAATAAATTTAAGAAATGTATTAAAGAAAAGCTGTGCAAAAAGGCTTACTATAAAGTTAACGATTATCTAGTTGTTAAAAGGGCCTGGGACTACTGCTGGACAGACTACTTCTAATTAGTAGATATTTGATGATTAAGTGTTGTTTAATGATTTGCTATTTTAAAAGAGTACCGAGAGTTTCTTACGCCGGCTTTTTCCCTCGGCCTACACCCTCTGTCTTCTTTGCCGATGAGTAGGGATGCCTACAAATTGAAATTTAATGACGTGGAATAAGTGATACATGTATCTTATGTTCCATAATAAACATATGTTATTTTATTTATTTTATTTTGCATTTTCTATTGAATTTGATATTTATATTTTTATGCATTTTACAATTTAATTATTTCTTCATTCGTTTAACTCTACGAGTTGACTCTAAGAGGCTGGCCCTCGACTCTGAGATTGATGTTTGAATCTTGTTTAATTTAATTGACTATTTTTATATGAGCGCGATAACTAGTACCAAGAAACAAAAGTCAGCTACTTGCCTAAAAAGATCCAGGACACTCCCGTTTTTATTTGTAAGTCAGAAGGTACATACTAGGGTGTATTTAAAAGCCATTCTTATTGCAAAAGCGATTTTAAATTATACGATTCTTCATAGACTGAGACCTACATCGATTGATTCAAAATGACGTTGCAGGCTTTGGCCCTGACATCGCTGCTCATCGATTACCTGTCAGCTCTTTCTGTATACATTGAACAAATACTAAGAAAATATTCCTCGGTCTAGTTTTTATTACTTTGCTAAGTATCATCAAGAGCCAAATGATTTCAAAGAAACAAATTATGACAATAACTGATTTGATAAAACTATATTAATGAAATGAAATTGATTCAAATCAATGAACGTCAAAAAAAGATATACATATTAAATGCTTCTAATTTTACATTTATTGCCAGTTCTCAAATCAAGAAACGGAAGAGAAGAACTGGCAATAAACTCTTAGCCACTCTTTTTAATCGCCAAGATTTTTGTTTTACACAATTGTAAGGAGCTGCAACCATTACACCATATTCCACGTGACATCTTAAGTAATTAATAATAATAAAATAAATTAAAAACAAAGATGTCCTCTATCAGCAGGAGGCATGGTGAAATAGGAGCACGCAAATAGATAGTCGAAATAACTAACATCACCACATACACGAATTCAAGTCCGACCAGTCACCACAAGATTTGTCAGTTCAGTCAGTAAACACATTGAATAAAACAAAGGCTAGCTTCAATAAGCCATGGAGGCGAAATTATTATGAAATGACATTCCATAAAATACGTCTACGCCCTGAATTGCGGTTTTTGGGTTCAAATCCTACCCTTATCCATTTAAGACCCTCGTTTCGGTTCTAAATTGCCCCCACTCGACCGTTGGTTACAACCTAATTTCAAATCACATGATTATTCTCAATTTAGATTTGACTGTTCACAAGATCTTTTTTATAGAAGAAAATATATACTGGTATTGGACGTGCCAATTATGTAAATGTATTTTTTGGAGTTTACTCCTTAAGAAACGATTTGAGTTATAAGGCCCGCTACGGAAATTTTATGAGGAGTAAAATCCAGTGAAACACGAAAAGTTGAGGCGTTATGTGTAACACGAAAAGTTGAGGCGTTATGTAGAAAGAGACAAATGGATTGAACCTGTAAAAGAATGAGATGGAATACATTACACAGACTTTTCTATTTTGAATTCACGTTTTGACAGCCACGTTACAACATTGTCAGTGTTGACAGGTGTAAAAAATAAAAGTAGATTGTCTAGCGCGCCATAGAGTTTTGTCAATAGTAATGGTCAGTGAAATTAAAACTCTTACTTTGTACCCTAAGAAGTTATACTTCTTTGGCATTATTAAAAATAGTTTTGATTGCATGCAAATAATTAATTACAATTAAATAATCGAAGACTGAAAAGGAGTCATTATAGTCAATAAAGTTCAGTTTACATTTGAAAAATTAAATAAATAATTATTTATTATTATTCTCTTACATTAAGTGTAACATAAATTCTATTTAGTGAAAGTATATATAATTATATATTTAGAACATCTCTACCAAACACTAAGAAGTATGTTGTAGCTTTGGCAGTATTGCACAATATAAAATTAATAAATTTCTTTGAAAAATTAATCAAAACTCCTTTATTTGTTTAAAAGGTAAATGACAAATGTCATTATGGTCATTCAAAATTCTTGGCATACGAACTTCACGCATATTCTATTTCTTTTTACTTGTAGATTGTCTTATTCCTATCTCGCTCGCCACGCTATAATCACCACTCCCAATTTTGTGTCACAGGTGCCCCATCGTAAAATTTCACTCTCATAAATTTTTCATAACGCGCCTAAAGAAGTATAACTTCAAAAAGATTGTTCATTCTTATTCTTCTCTTACTATAAAGGTAACTTTGGTCACAGAAAGAAAATCCTATTTGGGCATAGATGATGTAGGTACGTTTTATTACTACTACAAACATTTATATTAAAAAAACTTATATTCTTACCACCTTTAGTATGAAAATATGGTCGACAGCCACAGAACATTATCGCCATTTTATCGTTCGTAAGGAGTAAACTCCAATCGTGCGTCGTAGCTGACACACACACACTTTTTTTTAATTAAATAAGTTATATTGTTTATAAGTTATACTGTCAATAAATTGACTGATTAAAAATCCAAAATAAGGTTATATTGTAACTGATAATTCATTTTTTTTACATTAATTAAAGAAAATTTAGTTTATTTTAATTTTTTATTTAGTATTTTTTTATTATTTTAGGTACAGCTTCGATGAATGATAATAAGTGTTATTAAAAACTTGTAAGATTAAATAAATGATTTCAACTAACAAAATTAATTAATATTACCACCTACTTAATAAACTTATAACATATTTTCATATATTACTGTAAAAAAATTTTATATTACAGGTGGCAAACGGGCAGGAGGCTTACCTGATGTTAAGTGATACCGCCACCAATGGGCACTCTCAATGCCAGAGCGTTGCCGGCCCTTAGTCAAATAATATCACCCAGTCTTTGGTGCTAATTAATAATGGCGTAATTCTGTTGAGGCTGGTAATAAGCGTTGGAGATATTAATGCATAAGTGTTTGCGCAGACACTATTTCTTAACGCTCTCAGGTCGAAACGAAGTATGATGAGATCAGCCTTGCGATTCTGTAACTCACTTTTCGAACTCACACAGCGGTTTTCGCTTCGGCGGTCGCTCTCAAATCAGTCGTGAAGCAGTCATTTTATGATTTGGCATTCTGTTAGCTTGTAGTTTATTGTTTACCGCTGTGTGAGTTCGAAAAGTGAGTTACAGAATCGCAAGGCAAATCTTGTTGGTCAAAGGCATTCCCTTTGCTTACTATATTTTCCTTCAACATTCGAGCGTTAATTGCGTATATAGAAAGAAAGGTACACAGCCGTGATTTGAACGCACAATGATTGAATTACTGCTTATCTTCGAAAATAAAACATTAAATGATATCGTTATTACTATAACACTTAAAATGCAATTAGATAACCGTTTAATGATTCCCGTAATAAAGCGTGGATTTGATGGGGATTACGAAGTGCTTTCACGGTACATCGCTTTAATGGGTCGTTACAGTTTCTTAGGGCCGCGATGACCCGAATATCATTTAACTTCAACATTACACCAATGTTTAGTATAAATGTTTTATTTTTTATTGTGATTCAGATAAACAATTAAATAGACTACTAAATATAAAATTTTCTCGGTCGCTTTAAGAAACAATTTTGTTATACCTTTCATTTTGAATTTACTTGTACATTTTTAAAAGCATTTCAAAATTAATATTTAAATAAAATTAAAAAAAAAATGTGTTTATTCAATATAACATTGCATTACAATGTGTAACATTTGGGAACCCTTTAATTAAAAAATATCTGTGTCAGAGGTCCCAGCTCTTCAATAACAAACTTATTAGTTAATTCAATAACAAAGTTTATATTCTTATTTTCAATAACAAATTTGTGTTTGTATGCATACTACAATATGCACCGTTTAGTGTATGCGTCTTCTTTTAAAAGGCTCCATTGAAGCTATACTTTTATCATATTTTTAGTTCCAAATTAATTAAGATTATGCTGAACATCGCCACCAAAAGCTGTGGCTGTCATTCAGTAATTATTTAAAAATGTTTCTAGGATACGTTTTAAACTTCGACGATACCTTAATACTTAAATCTTTACGTTACTTACCAATTGATCGCTTGTGATCGCATCTTCAATTGTAGTATTGAAATATAGAATATCTGTATAGTTGGTGATATTTGATGCGTCTTGGCAGTCAGGATAGCTAGATGTGGTGATACAGGCACGCTGTTTCAGCTTTTGTAGTTTCCTGAATAACCAGTTATATTATAGAACAAAAATCCAGTGAAAAGCACGATTTATTCTCACTGGGCAGATTTATAATCAATTTCGAGGGGCGGGGTCTATTTTTGTTGATTTCACCTATACTATACTATTTATAAGGATGGTTTATTAAGTGTGTGGTTCATTATACTATTTTTCAATACACTTATCTTTGAAGAAGTCGCAAGTAAGAGACTTGCTAAAATACACGAAAACAACGCGGGCGGAAGCTAGTGTATGATATTTTAGGAAAAAAATGTTTTTTTTTGTGTTTGTTATACTATATACATTATACATATCTAATTAATTGAATATTATTAAACATAGTTTGTCCAATCTGTAAGTACATTGAAATCTTCAACGAATCGAAGTCGTAGATCTATAGCAACTTATAAACACGACATTTTCGAAGTTGGAATAAGAAGAATGTCGTCTTGTTTCTTAGCGCCGTAGTTTTTTTAATAATTTCTTCCGAATCATACTTCCTAAACTCAAAATAAAACTGACATAGTAAGTATATTTTATTAATCTTACTTTATGAACTAGTTTTAATTAAAATATTGAAATTCATATGTTCTGAACTATTATTTGGACACTTCGATAGAAAAAAGTTTAATAAAAATTAGCTTTTTTAGAATGGCTTATTGTGTCATATATTGAAGGCGAAACGATCAGAGGTCACATTTAATGAACGAAATCTGATTACCGCTAAGGTCACGTGAAAACATAAACTGGCGGCTTTATTCGACGTCATGGTATAAATAAGCGATGCATCTCAGTTGTAGGTAAGAGGCTCGCAATAAGTGATCATTGTAGGCCCTAGCTATGTATGTTGGCATCAGCCATTCAATTTCGACATAAGAGTCTACTTTTTAAAGGCTTCTATTTGGATCGACCGCTCAATCGAACCGAGGGCTGCACCAACCAGTGCCTGCATTTATAGCAACCCGAGTTTGTTAAAAAGTTTCGTGACATTTCGTGTACTCGTTCCGCGACTGAGTCCGAATCGGCTACAGAGTCAGACGGCAGTCATAGGAACGAGAGTCAAAGATTTCTTTAATTTTGATTGTCTTTAGGTTTCAAAGGATTAAATTTATGATAATAATGACTATGACTATGGATTCACTATTATTATCGACCATTAAATAGTCGTTAATTTATAGACCTAGCAATATTGACAAATCAAATAAACCACTGTTAATGGTTTTGAATTAATTTGACTTTGATATTATTAAATTATAATGGCAATGGCACTTGACACTAACGCGTTTATTCCAATACTTTTAATAATAATGTTTATAATATAACGATTTCTATAGACTATCAAATAGTCGTTATTTTGTAGATATATTAATATTGACTAATCGAAAAACTACAAGTATTAACGGTTATAAACTGATAAGACTTTGACGTCGTTAATTTACGAGCTCTGTGACATTTAATGAAAATGGCAACACCATTGCCATTGCTCCGACAAGTATAATATGACAAGTTTTTATATCGGTGCATGTCTTAAAACTAAATTTTTAGCCTTAAATCGCAGTACCTCTGAAGGTTATTAAAGCCTTTTTGTCCGGTTTTAAACAGCCTCCTGCACAAACAAATATGCATTTCTGTATTGCATGTAAACTTGTCTGTCAGCGAGGAGGAAATTACTTCATCAAAAATGCATCGCACTCGGTACCGAGTACTCATAGATGGCATGTGCTTTAACGCGAGAGTGTTAGCTTTTTAAAGGTACGGAATAGTATGAGACTCTTTGCAAACAAAACCTTTTTGGGTGTATTATAGAGTTGATAATAAACACTACAGCTTCTATGTCTGTCTTTTGTGGGCTATTTAGTTTAGTTTATTCATTTTATCTGACGAGTTGTTAATTATTTAGAGTTTGTTTAATGTAATAGGAGGCTAAAGGGCAGGAGGCATCTGATGTTAAATATCGCCGCCCATGAACTCTTACATTGCCAGAAGGCTCGCAAGTGCGTTGCCGGCCTTAATGAATGATTAATTATAGGTGGGCGGAGTTATATACTTTTAAGTACTTCAGACTATTAATTAAATATCATGTAATAATTGTCTGTATTATTAGTAAAAAAAAATAATTCAGAACAAAACATTCATAGTACGTAAAACCCAACGATTCATTTCGAGATTGGATAAAACGAATATTTCTATATTTGAGTCAATTCATATTCACTGAAAATAATAAGTATAGTTACCATTGAGTTATAAAATTAGTTCCGATCATGTATATAGGCGTAGATCTGTTGAAATCGAGGTTCGGTTCCGTCGCATTCATGATTTCAAGGCTGGTATTATTGTCTTGGTTGAGGTGCCCCGCAGTTGCTACTGCATCTATAGAAATATACTTGAAAAAAGTACCTATTTTTTATTTATTTTGAAAAGTAAAGTAAAAACATGCCCAGCTTTTTCCTACCAAACCACAGGGAAATATCCTGGACCTGGGTATTCTTTCCGTCCGAAACAATAACTGTTTTGGGTTGGCAGACAAAGAAAATCACTTTAACATCAATTAAACATACGTAGAAATTTGTCTGCTTGGAATACTTGGCTTTATAAAATAGTACAATACAAAACAATCCTTGATGCGGATTATATATCATGCTAAAATTTCAGCTCAATCGGTGCAGAACTTTTTGAGTTTTTGAAGCGTACACAAACCAACATAACATATATATTATATAGATTTAATTTCGTCATTTAAACCTGTGATATAATATCTCTTGGTCCAACAACTTGGTCTTGGTTTACTTTATTGAAAATATTTTTCAAGCAAGCCATACGATCACGATATTTTCCTTCACCGTACAAGCGAGTGTTAAATGCGCAAGAAAAGATGATAAGACAACGTTACGGTACAGATTTGCGCTGACCTCTAGTCAAAATTCCGTAATTTTCAGCACTAAAATTCACTTACCGTGTTAGATAAGGCTGTCGTCACACGTCATTCTAGTTAAAATAGGATAAGCATTCATATGTTCGCGTCCGGCGCCCGCTATCTCTTCACTCTCCAATCTCCATGTATTTCGGCCTAATTTCATCTGAAATAGTTTCACGTGTTATTTTTAGGTTAATTCTATTTAAAAAAAAAAACAGTGGCGCTACAACCTCTTTAGATATGGGCCTCAGATTTCTGAATCTGTTGCATGGTCATTTTTAAATCTAATAGGCAAGTAGGTGATCAGCATCCAGTGCCTGACGCCATCGACTTTTTGGGTCTAAGACATGTCGGTTTCATCACGATGTTTTCCTTCACCGTTCGAGGAAATGTTAAAAGCGCATATAAAAAAAAAAGTCCATTGGTGCACAGCCGGGGATCGAACCTACGACCTCAGGGATGGGAGTCGCACGCTGAAGCCACTAGGCCAACACTACTCGTATAAAAGTATTTTAAACATCTTTAAAAATAAACCCTAGCTAATGAATGATTTGTCCTTATCTCACTTGAAAATAGCCGACACAAATTTAATAAAATATTCGGTTCAGTTGAATAATATAGTCATTCAACCCCGGCATCCAGTTAAGTAAAATACTCAAGCCTTGCTCTCAATAACAAGCAAAGAAACTTTCCGAGTTTTATTTATTTTCGATCAAGCACGAATCTCATTTAATTGATGAATTCATTATTAGGAAACGGTTCTTAAAATAATTCTTTACATTGAGTCCTTAAATAAGAGATTTCATGGTTAGATGATTTATATTTATTTAATAATAATGATATATATGATATATATATAAGGATGAACTGTGCAAAGTCTGTTAAAGAAGTATTTTTAAACGTTTACACGCTTTAAAAGAGAATTTTCGTAATACACAAATATCTAGACTGATAAGCCACATTTGAAAGCTATTTCCAATATACTGTCATAAGTATATTGTGAGAATGCTTGTCACGATTATTTAGACGAGGGTAACGTCTCAACAGATCCACAGAATTTATAAATCAGCTTGGGATTCGAAAAACGTGACTATACAGACAAGGGAGGGAGGAAATATTGCCTACAATAAATACGTCTTACAAATTTCTAGCGTACTAGCATTTCCCGTCTACGTATGGCCGGTGTAATAATAATAAAAATTTATTTACGAACTATGGTTTCATAGTAGTTAGTTAAAAAGTAAGTTATGTTGTACACATGTATTTAATGTAATGCCGACAAGATTTTTGCTATAATATCCCAGGGATGTTTATATATAAAAAGTAATAATAAATATGTACGCAATGTCTTTTAATTTAATTAATATTTTTTTTTAAATTTTATACTTTATATACCCTCTTTCTAAAACTAAAATTCCTTGTTAAAAATATTTGTCCTGATCCCATAAAACGTCGTGTACCGCGGAGACTACTGGGTCATTATCTAGAAAGTTTAGATGAGATGATCCTTTAACCGCGGAACTAGTTAGAAATCACTAGGAGCCTGGTCCGGCGAATATGGAGGAATTTCAAAGTCACCTTCTTGAATGGCAGCCATTGCAATTCTGGGCTTGTGCGCGGGAATTATCTTCGTGAAACAAGACTTTAGCGAGGTTTCCATGACGATGTTTGCGTGTTTTCTCACGTAATTTTGTCATTTGTCTTGCGTACAAAGTCCTCGTAGAAGTAGCTTCATCCATAAAAGTATTTGATCATTCCCACCCCTTTGGGACAGCCAAAGCCAAAACAGCCCAAGAACTTACAGATGGATGAAATCGCTTTTAATTTATTTGTTGTTGCAGATGACGGTCTCATTCAAGTCATGGCGTGTATTTTCGTTTCCACAATGATGAAGCTATGTTTCGCCCAAAGTTATGAATGTTACGATACATACCAGCCAGGCTCTTGTCGCAACAAACCCAAATAGTTTTATGAAATTCTAAGTCTCGTTTGATTTTGCGCGTCAGAAAGCATTTTAACCACCCAGCGCGCTGACATTTTTTTCATACCCAAATGGTTTGGACACTTTATAAATCTTCATTTCTTCTGCAAACAAACAGGACGATACAGCAAAACCATATTTTTAACTTTTTTAATTATTTGTTCAGTCATTACCGATGTAGGCGTCCGTGTGGGAGTCGTCGTTAATGGAAGGAAGCACACCACAGCACAACCGTAGAATATGGAGCACTGATTTCGTAGTTAAATCTTCAACCACAAATATATATATTATAATACCGCGCGAACTTCAATTTTGTAAATTTTTAAGATCACGTTCCGACGCGACGAAAACAAAAGACCATTTTTTTAAAAACAAAAGAGAATTCATCGCTTTTTGTATTATGTCTGATGTTTAGGCTATGTCACAGTAATGTTTTTCTTTTTACGGAGAATATATCAATATTTGATGAATACCTCTCTATATTCTTATACGTTTGTTCACAACCACTCTTCACTTTTATTGGTTCGAATCGTAGCTATCGCTTCAAGTCACTTATCTTACCGAATATTAATTAAAGTGAGACATTTGTAAAAAAGGTTTAAGTTTTTACTTGGGTTTTTTCCATTCATAGCCTTCATTGCAACATAAATTGGGGTTATTAAACTTTTAGATAAACCCGACAGTAACAGTAAGTTACTGTCGGGCAACTAAAGGCATATTTTTAAACTTTTCAAAAATTAATACAGCTTATTACTTATTGAAGGATAATAAAGTATTCTAATGATCTTGTCAATTATTGGGACTAAGACACGGCTGGTCTGGCTGGTTTCCTCACGATACCTATCTTCACCTTATGAGCCAGTGTTAATTGCGCACATAGGCATAAGCGTATACAGCTGTGATCACGAACACACGAAATCTTTGAGAGTTGCACGCTCAAGATACTTGACAACACCTCTCGTAAAACATAAACAATATAGTATCACAATATTCCCGAACTTGCCGCGGCTTTAAAAAAAAGGTACAAGTAAATTCAATTATAAATTTTATCAGCAATACATAAAGCTCAAATTCGTTTGTATAAGTTATTTTCAGTTCAGTGATTTGAGTAAGTGAACTGGAATTAAGCTGCGGCTACTACTGTCTTATATTATTGATGATTTGGAATAAAGGAAATTATGAGGAAATTTGTTAAGTTGGGTGTTTAGGTAAAATATTGCGGTAAGGTAACTCCAAATGTTTATATAACGTTAGATACCTCATTTTTTACCTCAATTGATATATCAATTGCAAGGCATTGGCAGGCAAGTAGAATCAGCCTTCTGTTCTAGATACACATCTAGATACCCTTTGGCTTTGTCTTACAAGACAATTTCTCCAGTATGGTTTCTTCACGTTCGTGCGTCGGGTTGTCTCTCTCCCTAAAATATGGCGAGGGGGCCGATGGCTGGCCATGCGTCATACTCGTGAACGGGTGCTACTTGTGGTGACTGGTCGTACTTGAATTCGTATATGCGGTGATTACGAGAATGTAAGTGCGTGCTCCTATTCCACCATGCCTCCTGCTGATAGAGGACAAATCTTTGTTTTTAATTTATTTTGACATTGTGTAATGGTTGCAGCTCCTTACAAACGTTGTGTAAAACAAAAAACTTGGCGATTAAAAAGAGTGGCGGAGAGTTTATTCCCAGTTCTTGTCTTCCGTTCTATGCCCTTGATTTGAGAACTGGCAGTAAATGTAAAATTAGAAGCAATTAATGTATATTTCTTTTTTGACATTCATAAGTGTACATTGTGTTACCTATATGGTGCCGACGATATAGTGAGGATATTTAGAACCATAGATATTAAGAACACTACGATCTTTGGGGTATTTCTGTAAAAATAATTAGTAGCATAATTGATGTAATTGCTCCCCATCTATATAATTTTCAACATTTGTATTAAAAGTGGCGAGTTTCCCGATCTAATGAAAATAGTAAAGTTATTCCTTTATTTAAAGCAGGTAGTATGTCGACCCCAGTAACTTAGACCAATTTCCGTACTACCTACTTTAGTAAAATATTTGAAAAAATTATATTAAATCACTGTAATATTTTAACGTAAACAAATTATTACATAATAATCAGTTCGGTTTTACCAAGGGTCGCTCGAAGCCGATGCCGGTGTTGATTATATAGATATATAGTTAAGGCTTGGGAGGAGTCGCATGACGCTTTAGGTGTTTTCTGCGACTTATCCAAAGCATTTGATTGTGTCCAACACAGACCTTAATCGGGAAACTCCGCCACTATGGCATCAAAATACCGACTGAATCTTCTGACTTCCTATTTACACGGAAGAACTCAGAAGATTGAAGTGAATGGTAAGAGGTCCTCTGGGTCGGCAGTAGATATGGGGTACCACAGGGCTCAATTCT